CACTCCCGCCGTCACGCTCCTCGTTGCGTGCATCCATGGAACCGGAATGGTGCCTTTTACTTTTTGCCGCCCTTCAGCTTCTCAATGGCTTCCTTCTCGGCCTTCTTCTGATCGCGCATCTTTTGCTTAAAGGCGATGTCGTCGTCGTCGTCGTCCACGCGATCCTTCTTGGGGGCCTTGAGAGGCTTCTGCTTGCCGCCTTGACGGGACGACATCGCGTGAGGGATGTCCTCTTTGTGGGTTAATAAATCTCTTCCGCAGCAACCCCAATAATAATTAAAAAGAAAGAGAGGGGAAAAAATGACACATACAGACACACAAGCATGCTCGTTAACTACGCTGCAAGGCTTGTAGACACGGATGAAACCATTTCCTTCATTTCTCCCCTCAGCCCCACCCTACGAAGCACAGACACTGTGCGAAGGTAAACAGAGTTTGGCCCTTTCCACCCACCATTTCAGTTCGGATGCAAGTTATTCCCTACTTCATATACACCCGCACAGAAATTCCCCAAGGCGTTACATAGTAACCGGACTCTCGCTGGCAGACCACGAAGCAGCAGTCTTTGAGGCCCCCCGAAGCCCGCCAGCTTCCCCTCCGGGTGGAGGGCAGCAATAGGCGCAGCCCTAGTGGGAGTTGGGGCAGGAGGAGAAGAGCCAAAGAACCGCACCCGCGCATCTCTCCAACGCCGTATAGTTTGAAGCAGAAAAGCCAAGGGAGAAAAAAGAAAGCAAGAATTAATGCGCAACGCGGCTAAACTAAACCCATCATCCTCACATTTATTGAGCCTATTCTGAGAATACATTTTTTCCCCCCACAATTTTCTACCCAAACACCTGCACACAAACAGGGAAAGGGGCAAGTGCACAACGGGACGCACACGCGCAACATATGCGCAGGAGTACGACAAGGGTGCATTTCTCACGCCATGTTTAGCCCAACCTGCATATTTTCACTACGAGTGGGGATAATATTTCGACACACTACAAACAAGAATGCGTTGACAGCGGTCTTCGTCGACGTTACCTGGTGCCCGTCGCGCGCAGCTGCAGCGCGCCACCGTCAGAGTGAACCTCCACCGCGTAGTCCTTCACGGGGGACGACACCCCAGTGAAGGGAGCTTCCAGCACCGCCCCACCCTCAACTGCAATGCGGCGGATGTATCCTGTCAATGTCATTTGTTTGACCTGCAGCAACTTCTGCTCCAGCGACGCTGTCTCGCCAGGCTGGATGGGCACCTCCACCTCCACGTCGGCTGCGCCGTTCGGCAGGGTGTAGGTGGCCTTCACCTTCACCAGGTGGGGGGCGGTGTTCTTTACCAGAGCAGAGTACACGTGGCAAGGAGGCAGCACCATCTTGCAAATACGAAAAGCGAAGAATGGGGATTTGACGCGGCTTAAAAGAAAAAAAACTAATAATGCATAGCCGGGCAATTGCGTGTGTGTGTGTGTATGCGTATGTGCGTCCAAGGAAGCAAGTAGAAGACACACAACGGAAGTGGGGGGAAAAAAAAGAGGAAACCCCGCAAGAAACAAAAGGGGAACAAAAAAGTAAAGCAGCAACAAAAAAAAAAGACAGGAAATAAGTAAAGAAAAAGACACCACCCCCACAGTTGTCCTCACTCACGCCCGCACACAGCAGCGAACTGTTTCTTCCACCACCGCCGCTCTCGTTCTCTCTCGTTTTGACACTCATCATGCGAGGAACAGCAACGGGGAGAAAAAAGTGTAAAAGAAACAAAACACCACGGGAAATAGTTCAGGCACAACTTTACCCACAGCCACGCGGCTTCATGTGCCGTAACTCAACTGTCTAGCCGCCTGAAGGTAATAGCGTTCAGCGAGAGTCCAATTACACGCCTTAAAGTAATTCTCTGTGTACTGCTCCAGCCCCGAGGGGCCATAGTCGAAGCAATAGGCACTCTCATGTACGTTTATCGCCAGGAGTGGGATGAGATCACTGGCGATGGGGCAAGCACCGTGCGGAAACTCCACGACATCAAACTGTTTTCCAGTCCAAACAAGATAAACCCAACCACAACGCTCCTGGTGCGAGAGAACAGTGACGGTTAGCACCCGCTTTACTTCCTCCACCACATCTACCGAGCCGTTGCGGCCATATTGCAACTGAAAGGCCTCGCAAAGTTGTTTTGGCACCGCCGTCCCCCATGGCCGCAGGGACTTGTAGAAAAAACAATAGTTAAAGTGCTCCGCCGCCGCGGTGTGCGCCACGGCCTGCGTGGCATCAAAAGACGTCCTACGAATAACGGTCTCAAGGTTGTGACCCTCCAGTGGAGTGCCTAGTGTATGTTGGTTGAGCGTCTGCACTGCATCGCGGTGGAAGATATTGTACTGCACGTCAAACTGCCGTTTGGAGATAAACGCCGGAATGCCGGAGGCGATTGGATAGTTCAGCCGGGGTTGGCTAAAAAAGCCTGCATCTTCTTTTGCCTTGTCCGCACGTGCGGCCGCGGCCTCCGTCTCACGGAACACGGCGGTTGCTAAGTGAGGCGACGCGGCGAGCCCCTCGCTTTTGAGAAGCGCGCCCTTTGGAACGTAGGCGTGGTAGCCAAGACGTACCGTCCGGCGCATGTGCTAAACAGTTCTCTCTGCACGTCGCGTTACATGCGGGACGCGATTGACAGGAGCGCAAAGAGATAAGGATCAATAACGACAGAACAGATCTCAGATGTGAAGAGAGAGCACAACACCGGAAAACCAAAAAAAACAAAAAAACATCAGGCCAAAAACAAAAAAAGTCCAACGTTTTGCCGCCCCGCATGTATCTGGAGACAAAGAGGGACCTCTTCAGGAATTCCGGCTTCCTTCCCTTCCCCCCCCCCTTTCGCCCACTGCCTTCTCCCGCCAGCAACTCACCATCACGACGGTGAAGCCTCCGTTGTCACTTCTACGGCATTCGCCTTTCCTTCCCGCGCGACGACGAGACGCGCCATCTGCTCCAAAAACTGTTGCTTCTCAATTCCGTACTTCGCCAACACGAGCTCCGCAGCGGCTTCATCCTGCAAGGGGAGGACCTCTTCATAAATGACCTCCGCCAGCTGCTTCGCCTGCTGAGCTAAAACAAAATTCTTCTGAATTTCCTTTTGCCGCACTAAAATATGTCGACGGATGCGTTCCCCGTACGTTGAGCGCAACTCAGGCCCCGGCCGCTTCAGGATAAAGTTGTCGAACCCGCCTTCCTTCTCAACCTCAAACATCGCCGCCTCCACCATGGGCACCTGCACCCAGTGGTCCAGCACGTCGCTGTAGTGAATGCCCGTCTTGACGTAAGGATACTTCAGTTGCCGATAGACGTTCTGGACCGCCCGTGAGGTCCGCACGCGCTCCCTGACGCGCTCATTAAGCCAAATAACATCCATTTCATGCGGGGCCTTCGGCAAAAGGGTGCGTGGGGCCACGCCACTCATGCGGTAAATCGAATAACGGTTGATTTTGTTGCACCACGCCGCCCACGGCGGGAGGCCCATTGAAACATATCGATTGATAAGGCCGCGTGGGGGACCGTGTGGAGCGGCGGAGGTCTCGGGGTTCAGGGCAAACGTTGAAAACAGGCATCTGCCGCTACTCCGCAGCATTCCCACTCCTACAGAACTACACCTGCTTGCACACACGGAGAGGAGGGAACGGAATGCGCGTGGGCGGGGTCGGCAAAAAGAGCACCAACAAGAAGAAAAAAAAGGTACACCGTCCTTCTTCATTTTACAGGCCGTTGTTACAATGAAAGCAAAAAAAAAAAACAAGGAGAAAGGCGGCCGGAAACGATGCCGTGGCCACAACCCGCTCCATCCGCCCTCAGAACTCTGTAGCTACCGTAGACAATATTCCACCATCTGTTCGTATTGAGGAGGAGAACACCCCCGTCCCCCGCAAAATAATAATAATAATAAAAATAATAACCCCGAGCTAAATAATGAAGGATGGATGTCCGTAACGTGTTCCTCCTCTTGGCGGAGGAACGCGGGGACGGCAGCTCAGCAAGTAAGGCAATCTGTGACTAACATTGAGGGATAACAAACAAGCAAACCATAAACCCAACAAAGCAAAACAACAACAACGACAAATAAAAAAGAGAAACGGAGAAATGGTTTATTGCGGGGTGTATTGAACAAGGGGCATCTGCAGCGGGAGGGGAGCGTACCCGTAGATGATTCCATTGGGCAACGAAAGTGGGACCATAACAACACTGCCCATGGCCGTAAACGTCGGGCACGCCGCAGAGTCAAGCGGTTTTGGGGGGTCCTGCGGCGTCTCTGTCGCGACCTTCGGCGCAGCGTTGGACAGCATTGGTGGCGACGCAGAGTAGTTATTGGTAGATGATGGCAGGGCGGCCAGCACCGCGCGCTTCCCTCCCTTTGAATGTGAATTGGAAGCTTCATCAGAGAGCTTTAAACCTTGCAACTCTTCCACGCATCGGTTCATAATACCCAACGAATAGCCGACGGACGCCTTCGGCACATTGGGTTCGGACACGTTCCCATTTAAAGGAACCGAGTGGTGATAGAGGCACCTTGAGCCAAACTTGCACGCCCCAGTTTCTCGAAATTGCTTGCATATCTTCTTCCTTTCCTCCGCGCACGGTTTGGCAGGCAGAGGACTTGAACTGTGTCTACTCTTCCAGGTGACTTCGTCGCTTTCAAATACGTCTTGAGTTGTCGGCAGCATCACCGTCATGCGGGATCCTTCTTCAGTAATTTCTCTCTTTTCCATCAACATTCTCGCCGCATAGGTTTGCATCTGCTCCAAGGTGTGGTGTAACTGACGCAAGTCCACCACCAGAGATGCATCCCAGTGTGATGCCCCCGTGTAACCCGCAAGCGCACGGACGGCGTCTTCTGTTGTGAATACGTTGCCGTGCGACGGAAATGAGGCACGAAGAAACGCCTCGAAGTCAACAACCGCAGTTGTCTTTTGCATCACACAGCTACGCGTGCCAAGTTGCGCGTGTGCGCGTGCGCTCTTTCGCTTCGTGCGGCTCCGACGGCGGCGGCGAGGAAGGAGGTAAGCAGGCAAACTGCAGGCTCTTGCCACTACTTCTTCGCTCTCTCTCTCTCTTACCTTCACTCTCTCCGCCACCTCGAAAGGAACGGAAAACCAAAAAAAAAAAACAGCAGCAGCAGCATGGAGAGAAAATGCGGCAAACAAATTGCATTGCAATGAAACAGTAGCCACTTCGCTACGGTCATCACGCGCATGCGCACACACGCAAGGCAGAGGAAGAGGAAGAACAACGCGCCATTGTCACTTTCACACGTTCCCCAGCAAAACCAACACCACAGCGCATAGGTGCGTGTGTGTGTGTGCCTCTGACCAACAGGGATGGACGCAGCTACCCAACAAGCAACTGGGAGTAGGAGTAATCCCTGGACCCGCACACATAGCACCACAATACAGTCAGACTGTACAGGCCCGGGAGCGACAGCATAGCTCCTACAAAAAGCAGGGCACAACCACGCGGAGCGTCTTCCACAAACGCCAGGCAACCCAAGCCCAGTGCCAGAAACGTCATGCCCGCACCCGAGAGAACAAATCCCATAACAAATGCACGCCACCCATTCCAATAAAGGTTCCCAATGCGTCGTCTTGCCCTGTTGGGGTGTTTGGAATCCAACCAGTGATAGGGAAAACCTGAATGAATGTTGCCTGGTTTTCCGGTAACCTCTTTCATAACTCTCTCGCTCGTTGGGCACATCGCATATTGCGCCTCTGTGTGCCCCATCCTTCTCGGACCCTACATACTATAACTGAGCACACTCGAAGAAGGCGATTGAAAGAAACGAGAGTCATCTGGGCAGCGAGAGAGAGAGAGAGAACAGCAGCAGATATAACCGTGGTGACTGGTCAAGGGCAGGGCGTAGGTGTATCTTACTGTCATCACTGTATAAATATTCGAGCGGCAGCTGTTTTCCTTTCTTCTTGCGGTTGGAGGAAGGCCCATCAGAAGATATTTTGTTTTTCCTCCTTTCCCCAGAGCTTTCCATATAATAATAATAATAATAAAACAAGGGACAGCCACAGCAAAGCGGCAACCCCATTGCTTTATATTTCATCTGGAGACGGCTGCCAGTACTCCTTCGGCACCCTTAGTTTGGCTTGCTCGCAGTGGCTACACCCGCACCGAGGGCAGTGATGTGGTTCCGTTGTTTTGGAAGAGCTGCGGGTACTCCCGCCTCAGAGTATCTATTATGTTGTCGACAGAGGCCCTTATGTCTCTGGCTGACCCCGCGGCGCGCGAAATGGATCGAAAAAAATTCAAGTCATTCGCTGAGGAGAGGCAGGCGGAGACGGCCGCCACAACCTCCTGCTGTTGCGTGTGGTAGCCCTGAAACATGGTGGGGTAGCGCTGGGCAAAGAACTGATCCAGCGTGAGTGACGGGTTGAGCCTGGAGGCAGCCTCGTACTCCTCCTTTATCCGCCGCTGCTCTCTGTACGGCAGCAAAGCCCGCATAAGTGTAAAGTACGAAACGGAGGATATGGGCAGCTGCCACCAAGGCATGTTCTGCATGAGGTTAAAGGGAGAATTTGCGTCGGTGAGCTGTGAGATGCCCAGAAGGAGGAACAGTGAGGTCAAGAAAAACATGAACCGGAAAAACATCACGGACGAGGATGTCGCTTGAGGACCGCATGTCCCACTGCTACAATTGCCAGGACCCTGCTGCGCGTACTGCGGCATGGCTCCTTCGATCTTTTGCGAGAAGCGTTCACGCAGCTGCCGTTCTCGCTCCAGCTCATCTTTGTCTTCTTGATCCACTGCAGGCCTGTCCGGCTTATCCCGTGTGCAGCGTGTGGTGCACAAGCAACGCCGCGACTCCACTAGGACCAATGAAGGTGCCAGCACCCGCCGCTGCAGTGCCTTGAACATTACTTGACTTCCCCTTCCTCTCCTGCAATGAAGGCTGTACGTGTCTTTCTTCCTCAATACACCGCTATAAATATACAAATAATAAGCTTCAAGCTAATACAGTCTCGTCTGCTATTCCTTCTTACTACTTGGGAAGCGGCAGGCAAAATAAGCAGGTCACATGTTTACCAATCCGAGCAGCAGTCAATGTAATACATACACACACACGCACACACACAAAGAGAGGGAGAGAGCGAGAGCGAGAGAATCACTACTAGTAGCAATGACAGAAGCTGCAGCAGAAGCAAAAGCACACCGCGGCATTGCACCACCAACAAATGCACAGCCATCACCACACCATCCCTCAGTACAGGGAGTACATGGATGTCATTTTGCGTATGTGCATTCGTACCTTCACACGCTTGTTGTCATACACCTCTCGATCTATGCCCAACTCTTCTGCCCCCGGCAAATACAGCCAACACCAGTTGTGGCCCAGGTCTTGAATCCCTGTACGGCGGTCCTTCTCGCGGAATTCAACAAGTCTGGGGTCCACACGAACTTTGTACTGCTCCCAAAGCTTCTGTGCCACATCCTTTTTTCGCAGTGGGCAGTTGATAAGAAATCCCTGGCCCCACGACTGCCGGCCGAACAACAGGTACCCCGTGTTCACTCGCCAGTATACGTCAAGCCACTGTCGCTTGCGTGCGGCAAAGTCCAGAAACTCATCATTGCGTTCTATAAAGCGATCGTACTGATTCGTGTCCGGGTCAAAGCACCAGAGTCCTTGTCGAAGTTCATCTGTAGGAGCTACGGCATGGCCATCTTCGATGTACTTTCGCGCCAGCTCCCTTTTGATAAGGCGTTCCTCGCCGGCAAAACCGCCATTTGGTCCGAGGATGGTGCGCGTGAAGAGCAGTGGCACGTACTCCAGCTGCAGCTCTGGCGCCATCTCCAGGAAGAGACGCGTTAGACGCAACATCTCCGCCTCGCCTTAGACACGTGCGGAAAAGCGGCAACTCACCCAACACACTTTTTCTACGCCACACATACACACACAGAACTCACAGGTAGAAATAAGGGGAGCAAGGTATATATATATATATATATATATATGACCAGGAAAACTAATAGTTACAGTGCAAAGAGAAGCGAGTGTGAGCTCCAGACAAGGATAAGAATGTCACCACCACCTTTGACCATCAGCGTTTACCTCCTTCAACATCGTTGTCGCCCCTCCGCACACACACAGGAGGCGCATCTGCCCTACAAAAGAAGAATCAAAATAAATACCGAAAAAGAAAGGAAAAATGTTTCCAACTTTGAACGAAGCTGCCCTCCCATGCCAAAAAAAGAAAAGCATGCACACAACTATCATCGTCCTGGTTGCCATCCTTCTTCTTGCAGGTAAAAAGCTGCTCGAGACGCTTTCGTCGCCTCGTTGCCGTCTATGACTAGACTGAGGAATCGTTCGCCACTTTCCCCTTTTCTCATTCCGCGCAGTAATCACATACACTGGCCTCTGTGGTAATCATCAGCCCGGCCACCGACGCCGCATCAACTACGCAGGAGGTGACCACTTTGACAGGGTCGATGATGCCTGCCTCAAACATGTCAACATACCGGTCATTTTGAGCATCATAGCCCATACAACAGTCGTCGTACTCAGCAACGTTCTCCACTGTGACCGCGCCCTCCTCACCTGCATTTTCGCTGATACGCCTCATCGGGAGACGCGCCGCATTTCGGACAATAATGATGCCTGTTCGCCGATCCTGATCCATTTCCTCGTCAGCCTGAAGAATCTTGTCCAGGTCCTTGGAGGCATGAAGCAGAGCGGCGCCACCACCTGCGACAATCCCTTCCGCCAACGCGTTGCGAGAAGCATTGAGCGCATCAATCACACGATCCTTGGACTCGCTGACCTCCACTGACGAACGCCCGCCCACACGAATAACGGCAAAGGTTCGATTCAACTTCGAGATGCGCTCACGAAGTTTATCCTTCGCCTCCTCGGTCATGGCACGGTCCAATCGACCCTGTAGGAGACGCACGCGTGGGGCGGGGTCCACCAGCCCGGCAATGGTGGTGCTATCCATAGTTTGCGTCATGCTTTTTGCGCCGCCCAAGAGACAGGTTACATCATCTACAAGGCCGATTGAGGCCACTTTTTCAACAACACAGTCGCAGCATGCGGCAAGGTCGTGCAACTCCTCCTCTGAGAGTTCAGGTGCACACACCACGCCGCACAACACCACCTTGTGCACGTGATTGTGATAGATAGTTTGCAGCACCGATTCAGAAAAACAGGGTGCAACCACGACAAGAGGTTTACCATTTGTTTTGGCTGCCTCCAAGAGTCGCAGAATATCTTCGACAGCCTCTAACTTTTGCGCGGTTATAAACACAAACGGGGTTTCAAGGTAACTCTCGAGCTCGGCACAATTGGTCACCAGCGCACTAGAGAGAAATCCATGCTCCGTACTCCAGCCATCGTAGCGCTTCCACTCCGTTACCGCAGCATTCCCATCCAATACGGCAATGTATCCATTCACACCAACTTCCTGTACAACAGCGGCAATCAGCTGCCCCATTGGCCGCTCCCCATTGGCACTAATGGTTGCCACATTCTCTAGCATGGTCATGTCTCTCACAGGGCGCCGTTGCTGTTGTAGGTTTTTGAGAATGACCTCCACGGCGGAGTCAATGCCGCGCTTGAGGTCCATGGGGTTGGCACCTGTGGCCACACTCTTGTAGCCCTCCGCAAAAATGCTCCAGGCCAGAATAGTCGCCGTGGTGGTGCCGTCACCCGCAACGTCGTTCGTCTTTCCAGCCACCTGCCGAATTAGGCGGGCACCGACGTCCTCAAACTGGTCGTTAAATTCAACAGAGCGCGCCACCGTGACCCCGTCTTTTGTGATCTTTGGCTCCCCCGTTGCCTGACGGATAATGACGTTGCGCCCCTTTGGGCCGAGCGTCACGCCAACGGCGGTGGCGATGCGCTCAATGCCGTTCAACATGCGCTCCCTCGCCTCACCACCAAACTGAATCGTCTTCCCACGGGTCCCCGCGACGAGCCTAGAGAGGCGCAGCATGGACTCGCTTCGCAATTCCCTCCTCTCTTCCCTTTCCTTCCTCGTGTGTAGATGTGTATTCCTCCTTGACAATTCCGCAGCTGCGTCGGCTATGAATCTTTCCAATCCACGGCTTGGACTTACACATGGGCAGTAGGGAAAGAAAAGACAAAGAATCCCCCCCCCCAAAAAAAAAGGACACAATGAAGGGAGAGAACGCTTCCTCAGACACAAGCATAACTTAAGCCATCTCCAGGGCTGTGTGGACATCCATCTGCAAGACATGCAGCAGTACGCCTTTCGCAACTTCTATACACAAACAAAGAGGAAGGGACAAAAAACCGTCTGTTGCATCGCCAGCATGAAACCTAACTCCCTCCTCCCGAAGTTCTTCCACATGATTTGTTGTTGTTGTTTTTTTTGCGTTTTGCCCCTTTTCGCCTCACCGTCCCTTTGGGCAACAAGTTACGGTTGGGAGATGCGCTTCAATATAGCACGCTGTCGCGAGAGATCAATCTGCAGCCGCGAGACCGCACCCACCGCAGGTGCAGAATCTGCCTGCGTGGGGGCCCATCCCGCCGCGGCCGCCGCCTTCGGCTTCGCCTTTGCGGTGCTATTCAGCTCCACCTCCCGTCGAAGGCGGTCATGTGTGGCGCCCGCTTCGGCCGCACGGAATTGCAACTCCTCGAAGCGACGCAAAAGTTCATTTTTATCCGACTCAAAGGCCTCACGTTCTTTTCGAAGTGCCTCGCGCTCGGCTGAGGCCTCGTCTAAAAGGCGCTTTTGCTCACACCGCATCGCCTTGACAGCCAAGCGGTCCTCATCGATGGTCTCAACCTTTGCCGCGTAGGCCTCCTCCTGCGCACGCAAGGATTTAAGCACCTCCATCTCATCCGTGTTGTGGCGCTCCCGCAACATGGCAGCCTCCGTGCGCTCTCGGGCAATTGCCATTCTTTCCTCTTGGAGCTCAGACATGGCCTGCAGCTTCTTCGCCATAAATTCCTCGTACTGCTGCTCAAAGGCCTTTCGCTCCTGGGAAACCTCGTAGAGCATCATTTTTCGATCCTTCTCCAATTGCTGCCGTAGCGTTTCATAGTGCGACTGAGCTTCCTGGCACCGTCGTCGTTCCTCGGCAGCCTCCTTGGTGAAGTTGGAGAGCGAGATATCAAACTTGGCGTACAAGGAGGCAACTCGAGCGCGTTCCTTTTCCAGCTCCTGCTTTGTATACTTGAGTTCCTCTACAACCGTTTCCACAAGGGATTTTTGCTCATCGATTAACTGCTCCTTCTGTCGCAACGCCGTTAGCCGTTCCTCGGTGAGCGTCGCATTCATCTTTTTCGTGGCCTCCATGTCAGAATGCATCTGCTCAATAATTTTTTCCAGCCTCGCAGCATTTCCTGTGTGCGACTCTAGCATTTGAATTTGCTGCATGTGGAGTCTATCACTCTGTCCTGCTGCTTCCGCATGGCGCTTTTCTATGGCGGCGAGCTCCATGCGGTGCATTTCCTCCGCATGTGCGCGGTCAAGCTCGGACTGGCGCCGCGCCTCCTCCATCTGAGTTTCATACTGCCGCTTCACATCATCCAGTAGATTCTGAATGAGCGCGCGGTCCCGCTCGCGAGTGTTTTTGTCCTCACGATCGCGGCGCTCCTTGTCCATGCGGTCAAGCTCACTGCGCACGTCCTTGTCACTCCGCAGACGCGCCTCACGGTCCTCGAGATCACGCTTCCAGCGCGCCTCACGCTCCGCCTCATCCTTCAGCGTCTTGGCCTCCAGGAATTCACGAAAACGGGTCTCACGGGTCTCAAGGGCGCCCCAAAACTTCGCCTCGCGCTCCTCGCGTTCTTTGGCCTCCTTCTGCATTCGCTCCTGCAGCTCCAGCTCGTCTCGGCGGTCCTTGGCCTCCCGTTCTTTGCGGTAACGCTCGTCTTTAATGAGCCGCTCCTTCTCTGAGGCCACAACAGAAAGGTTTAGCTCGTGAAACACCTCGCGAACGTCCTGCGCAAGACGTTGAAACAAAGTTCTCGCAGCCTCCTCCTGTTCTAGTCGCCGCAGATGCACCGCACGCTCCCTTTCACGGAGTCGACGGCGCTGCTGCTCTGTAAACTGCTGTCGTTCCGCCGCGGCAGTGCTGAAGTTGTCGTTTTTGTCATCACCCGCCGGGGCCGTAGTCGTCGAAGTCGGCTTCACCCCCTGTTCCGCCTCGCTTGTCTTCTGCTCCTGCAGCCGCTTCAACTCTTCCATCTGCGCACGAAGCTCTTCTTGTTGCTGCTGCATGGCCCGCGCCGCCCTCTCCTGTTCTAGCTGCCACTGCCGCACTTGTCTCTCATGGGACTCGCGCGCCTCCCGCATCTTTTCCTCCGCGATGCGCTCTAGTCGTTCCTCCTCCTCCTGCTCCCCCTTCCGGGCTCGCTGCAGCTCGCCCGCTCTATCCACAGACGGGGAGGCGGGGGCAGGGATGGCGTCATCGTCCTCAAAGTCATCCGAGTACTGCGTCGCGGCGTCATCAGCGGAGTCGTGGCCAACGGCGGGGGCTGGTGCACTCTGCACGCCCGCGTCGCCGCGTCGCCCGGTCGTCCCCACCTCCTCCCCACGGCCGGTGGACGTCGTCTGGTGCTCCGCCTTTTTGCTCCGCGACTTCTTTCGCGCCTTGTCTTTTTTCTTCACATGCTTCTCCTTCTTTGCATGCTCCTCCTCCTCCTCACTCTCTACGGGAGCGATGTAGTCGTCAAAGTCGTCGTCGAAGGCGTCGTAGGAGAACCCCTTTGTCGGGGGCCGACTCAGGCTCGGTGCCCCCTTCAGCGAGGACATGGCCGCCGCCGCCGCTTACGCTGCCTCGCCCACGAAACGGAGCTAAGCGGCTCTGTGGCCAGTGACGAGCTGCGTGTGCGTGTGCGTGTGCGTGCGTCGTCCCTTTATGGGTGTATCTCGCAAACGCAGTACTCCCTGCTCGTAGGTGGAGCCAAAAAGAGTGGGTGCGTCGCGGGACTAGCAGCGCAACTTACTTTTCTTTTTCGTATCTTCTATCGCTACTTTGTGCACTTCGGCTTACTCTGTCCCCCGTAGCAGAACTGGCGTCCTCCCGCACGACTGTGCTGCGCCGTGCGTGTCTGATTTTTAACGCACGACCACAAAGCCCGACGGCGCAGAAGACACAAACAGGCGGCGGAAGAAACCAAAACAATAAAAACGCTTCAACCACAGCAAGAAGAAAGAACGTAACAACAGCAAAAAAAGATAAACAGACAACTTCACAGGAAACTCACATGGCGCAACACAAGAAGCACGATCACACTGCTGACAGCGTCAGCACCGCAACACTGATACACCACCGTGTGCCTACACTGCCGCCAGTCGACTGGTGGACTCTGCGCCAACTTGCCTCAGAGAGAGAAGAAAAAATAAAAAGACAAAAAAAAAACGCCAGCACGTACAAAGTGAGAAGAGATCCGTTTGTTGACTTCAGCACAATACACTACCGCCATCGAAGCAGACGCTTGCCCCACTCCTGCGTACTCGCCAAAGCACGGGAGGCGCTAAGCCATACATCATCGCCCAGACGACGCATGGGGTGGCAACGCCGCAGCTGCCTCACTTCTTCTGGCGTCGCTGCGCGCAAGACCTTCACTAAACCGAAGCCGTATCCCGCGATCCAGCTCTTGGCAACATTGAGAAACTCCTCCACGTCGCATGAGGGGTACGACTGCAGCAAAGGGAGAAGCTCAGAGAGATCACTGAGCGACAGCAGACTATCGCGTAGGCAATGTAGCATGGCGACAGCGACAAAAAGCACGACGCCGCGCAGTTCCCCACGGTAGGAAAACAAAAAATCCCAAACTCGAAGCACCTCCGGCACGTAAAACTCCTGCGTGAAAAGGAGCGTCACCCAACGGAAGGCGTAGAACTCTGACTCGATTTGGTTCATCTTCAAATGCTCCCAAAGCTCCGGCTCGAAGAACTGCAAGAGACGCTCAAAATCATGGATTGTGTCTTCCCCGCCAGCATCCTGAGTATGATTCCAGCTGCGAAAAAAATTATCGCCTAGGCACGCAAGCATGGTTTTGAAACAAAAGAAAACCTCACTCTCCAGTTGCTCGTTGACGGCCTCGCAGCGTCCGGCGGCAAACGCGTACAACAAATGTCCCACGAGTTCGTTCATTCCCTGTACATATCCTTGCCTCTTGTTCTCGCCGGCGACGGTGTGGAGAATGCGGCGCAGGCTGTGCTGCGTCGGCGAGAAGGCGACTGGGAGGCCCTCATCAGTCGGGGCGGGTTCTCCACATTTAAAGAAGTGCATGGAAGGCAGCGTGCGGGGGGCGTCAACATCCACCGCGCGGTACCTGCGCTCTCCCACCACCACGTTCCCCCTCTCGTCCAACTGACACACACGATGGACAAGTTCACGATACTCCAGCGTCTTTTTTTCCCACTGCTTCGCCCAATGTGACTTCTCAGGCGAGAGAAACCCCATCAGCAGTTTCCAAAAAACAGCCCGCACCTCTTCCGTCGCGCCGCGGCGGCACAACTCAGCCACCTCCCGCAAATTAATTGCGGGTCCATCAATGGCGACAGTGCACGGGTTTCTTGCTGCTTGCGAATTGCGTGCCACAGGAGGGTGCGCCATCGGGCCAGACTCGGGGAGTCCACCGTGTTTCTTCCGTACTCGCTCTTCCTCCTCCGCTCCCTTCCCCTCGATGCGGAGGCGGGTTTTTTGCGGCACACTTCGCAAAAAGGAAAAAAAAAACGAGGAGGCATAAGACAGAGTGGCGCAGAAATGAAAGCGAAGGCGCATTCCGGCAGACCTCACACCACCGCTGAGCACTGACACGCCCACGCACACACGTGCCCCAACTGCACAGGGAAGGTGAAGTGGTGAAAATCCCCCTATGCGCACCTGCAGTCACGACGAACGAGCAACGACAAACAACAGCAAACAAAAAAAACACTATTGAATACACACGCCCCCCCAAAAAAAAACCGGAAAGAAGAGATAAAAACAGAACAACACCATCAACGAACAACAGGATCCATACAACACCCGAAAGAGAACGGTGGAGAGGCATAACAATGGTAGGAGGTATCAATGGCCCTCGCTCACTCCCCCCCCCCGTTTTCCACCTTCCACAATAGACATCACCCCAACAAAGCAAAAAAGGGCGTATGGTTTGTTCTTCTCTTTTTCTTTCACTCTTACTTACTTCTTCCGTCCTCCTCACGCTTTGTTTCCTTACAACTACAAATAGCTACACTCGTTCATTCTCCGCTAATGTTTTTCACGACGACTATATTTCTCACGGCATGGGGTTGATGGCATCCAGAAAAGAGAAAACGACACGTGTGGGGGTGACCTGTGTGTCGATGATGGGATACACAAGCGCCATACGGCCGTCCGGCAGCGCTACATACGCGCGGCGGTCAATGCGGTCACACGTATTCTCGTCCTCATCCTCCAGGGAGCTGCGATAGTACGACTGCCGCATGAGAATGGCGGTCGTTGCGACACCAAACATGAGCATGGGTGCATGGTGTGCCCAGCCGTGAATGCGGCTCGTGTACGTTGACGGCAGGAAGTAAGACCAAAGAGGCCGCTTCACAATGGCTGGCTTCACCATCTTATTAACTCTTTGTTTATGCGCTTGTTTTTTTTTCTTCCCCGCCCTATTGCTTTGCTATAACCTATCTCTCTATTTGCCTCTACCAGTCGCCACTTCCTACCCTGTTGCCAACTGCCGAAGCAATCAGGTCGAGTGGAAAGAAAAGGAAAAGTGCGAGGCTTACAAAAGAACCACGACACAGCTCACGGCCACACGGCGAGCGCGAGTGAGAAAAGCATTTCCTTCGCCACACACTTTTAAACCGCCCCTCCGACGCCGCAAACTGCAGGTGGGGATGTGCACACCGCCGCACTTCCGGCCCTCAAGACATGAAGGGAATGCAGCGGCTGCGACAAGAACGAGTCTGGCGGTGCCGGTGGCCGAAAGCAAAAGAGCGGGAACTCCAAGAAGAAGAATACATACAAATATATGTATATATGTATGTATGTTCAACAACCCCGCCCATTGCTTACGTTAGCCTCGGGAGAGGGGGGGCATTATGTGCGCCACTGACGCCACGCATCCGCGACGCCCGGCACAAGATGAGCGGGAGTGAAACTTCACTCATTCATTTCACGTGCGCGGCCGGGAGAGAAGGCGCCAATAGTGGCACGCACTGCCAGTTTGCCAAAAACAAAAAAAAGCGCCAGTGACAAACGTAAGGGAACCGGGCGCGATTCATGTCGCCGCGAGTAACACGAGCCACGCAGCACACTTACAGCTAACATGCAGCGTGCATTTGAGGGAAACAAACGCACAGGTACGATGGGCCTCAAGAAGTACTCCTGTTGTCTGTACGCAAAAAGCAAGGAAAGAAAAAAAGAACGAGAGAAAAGCGAAACTATTAGTTCATTTTTTTTCTTCCCCTTCGCGTCGCTGAAGGTGCAAAGACACGGAGAACACTGGCAGTCGTGAGGATGTGCACCCCCACGATGTGTTGTTAACCGCTCCCTCCTTTTCATCCACGAGCGAAGATGTGGTCAATGACTCCCTTTTATACATCAGCAATGAAACGACTACGTCGTGGCGCTGAGGCGGGAAACAAACGAGCACAAAGTAAAAATAAATGAATAAATAAAAAAAATTCATACATCGGTACCGGCCTTCTTACAGCCGCTGCCTCTTCATGGCTTACGAGAAAAAAACAGCTTGGTCGTATCTTTCCCAGAGTCATTGTCACGAATGGAGCTGGAGGCACGCAGGTTCCACCCCTCTCCCTCCAAGGCCTCAATCATGGCGAGAAACACAGCTGACTTGTGCAGATCATCGCAGAAATGCTGGCTGAGCTCCATGCGCCAGTGGTCAGGGTTGGCGTAGAAGATAAACTTGATCGGCTCCTTTGAGGGGCTCGATGATGTGGAAACGCTGGTCGGAATGCGCTGCTCCATTACCTTGATCGTTTCCTCCCGCAGAGCCGACCCCAGGATGGTAATAACGGGAGGGTTGAAAGTGGCCGACACACACAGGTTGGGCATAGTATCCCGATTGTGTAGGATGCTCAGTTCGCTTTTTTTTTGTGAATTCCCTTCGCTACCAGTAAAGCCAAGTCGAAGAAAAAAGAAAAGGGGGAAACCAGTAAATGTGCGCCGGCACAGTTGCACGCACGCCGCTGAGTTGTCCCTCACACCCCTTCGCCACGCATCGACGCCCCACACACATTGTAGAGAGCAGCAGACAGAACAAGTTAAGGAGAGGGAGGGGGAGAAAGGAAGAGAAGGCAAAAAATAAAACAACTGTAACAACAACAAAACAAAAAGTAAGGTCAATCAAGCAGTAAAAAATAAATAAATAAATGAGAAATGAATGGACGATACAAAGACACTTCACACTCCTGAAAAGTCCCAGACATTGATGGCTGTGAGGCGCACAAGTGCCCGCGGAGCTGCCAGTTTGTTACCGTCCGGGCGTGGCGTACGGGTACGGCGAGCCTGCACGCGGTTTTGTCGCGTGGTACTCGAACAAACCACGCAACGAGGACTCAGAGAGGATTCGCGTATACGTCTTTTTCCCACTTGTAAGCACGAGTGGCTCACCAAGTTGGTCGTCGCACCTATTCGCGCGGAGGGAGGTTCGTCCGGCCCGGTGCTCATACAGCGGCAACTTCCGGAGAGAGGCCTCCACCCCAATGAGCTCACGCATGAGCCTCCGCTTTTGTTGCTCTCTCGCCCTTTCTAAGCGCTCCGCCGCCCGCCGCTCCCTCTGCTGCATGTCAAGTTGCTTTTGCATCGCATGTCGTTTTCGGCGCTCTTCCTCCTCCTTCGCTTGCCGCAAGCGAAGCTCATGCTGCATAGTTTTCCGCTCCTTCGCCTTCGCAGCCCGAATGGCGGCCTCATCCCCCCGCTGTCGCTCCTGGCGTAGTCGCTGCGCAACATGCTCCGTCTCCTGCCGGCGGAAAGACGCAATTTCGTCCTTCACCTGGCGTGTCATTTTGGCCTCCATGTCCTGCAGAAGTACTTGCGCCTGTAGAGTTTCGTTAAAGTCGTCACGTGCCTGCTGAAGTCTCTCACGGGCAGCTCGGTTTTGGTGGTGGCGGCGCCATAACTTCTCTTTACTCGCGTGGACTGCCTCTTCACGTGCCGCGCGCGATGACTCGCTCTTGGAACGCGTGCGCTCCATCGCCGCCTCAAACTTCCTGCGCCGCAGCTCGCTTTGCTCCCGCTCGCGAAGCAGATGCGCGTGCGCGCGGGCAAGCTCTTGTGCGCCCTGGCGCTGATTTCTGCCTCCCAACTGCGCCTCAACCACGCTATCCAAACGGGCCCGGTGTTGCTCTACCCGCTGCCGGATGTAACCCCGAATCATGTCGAGTTTCTCCCTACAATTTTGCTGCCGAGTCAAATGCAGCTGCTTCTCCCTCTTGCAAACGGAAGAGACGACCACTTGTACCAGAAGCACCTCCATCTGCTCTTGAAACGAGTGTTGGAGTGCCATGTACTCTCCCCAGCACTCTTCCTTCACCGCGGAGCGAGCGGTATTCTCGTCTTCCATGAGGTCCAGCAATTGGGCGAGATGCAGCCCACGATTCTGGAACCGGTGCCGTTCCTCCTCAGCGACCCGCTTCCGCCGCGAGTCAATGTCTCGTAGAAGGTCCGCCCACACCGAAATACGTCTCTGCAGGGTGGTGCAGCAGGAAAGCGTCCGCGCAAACGCCTGGATGAGGGTTGCGTGCCGCTCGGCAGTTTCCTGCATTATCCTATGCATCTCTACAAGTGAGTTGGCGGCCACAAGGAAGCCCCCCGCCGGGGTCACGTGATAGGTTGCACCGCATGCATCAAGCATGGCATCCACGACAGGCTGCTTCTCAGTGACACTGGCCTTCGCAGTCGGCAAAAGCATTCTGAAGGCGGTGGCAATCAATCCGGCCTGACATGCAATGTAGTGGTGAGGCAGTTGCCGCCGCAACTCCAGAGCAGGGCGCAGGGGCAACTCATGCAACTGTTTTTCGATAAAAACGCCGTTAAATGCCACGCCGAGTTGAACACTCCCCAGCCACCAAAACGTGTTTGTGCCGTCCTGCAGAACGTCAAGCAAGGGCCTCACGTGGAGCAACTCTTCTGCAACGACGTGTTGCGCGACACCACCCTCCGTCTGCGTCAGGGCGTGCAGAGCTTCTTGCGTCTCTACATCCGCATTCTCGATAAGAAATGTGCGTCAGGGTTTTAAAGTCCGCATGGTACACGGACTTCAGTGGCGCCGCATCGTCTGTGGCGCGGGGAAACTGGTACTGCCGCGTCCCAAACGAATGGTCGAGAGTGAGCATTAGCGTGCTGGCGTTCAGCCTTGCATGCGCGCTTTTCGCGCAGCTTGCTAGTGCCGGTTTAACGGTTTCCTCCCCCCGCGCCGAGCGGGCCAAAGAGAGCACACCACCGAGTCCGTACAGCAGCTTGAGCAGGCCATAATTGTCCATCGGGGCGAACAACTCCTGCAACTTCCCCGGCGCACAAAGCCCGGCGCGTTGCCACTGCACCACCTCATGGTCGCTGGTGCGGAGAAAAGCCTGCAGCACTTCCTCATACATGGTGGCGAGGACAATGTTCTCCAAACTATCGGACCCCGCCGGGGGAAGCGGCGGCATGACGAGCAGAGTAATGGAGGGCGGCGGACGCGTCGCCTTCCCAGCGAAGCGGAGTGCGGCATTTACCTTCTTCACCAGCGTGACAACGACGGCGCGGTAGAGCAGCCGGGCGGCGGTCACGCAAACTTCCCGGGAGGAAAACGTACTCAGACACTCCTCAAAGTCCAGTTCAAGGAGACTGGCGACGCTTTTGAGGGCCGGGAGGTTTGACGGGGTGCCGTCCGCGTAGAATTCCACCTCGGTGAGATGCACAATCGCTGCCACCTGCCTGAGTACCGCCTGCAGCGTGGCACCGGAGAGGCCAAGGGCTTCCGTCGCCCGCGTGAAGGCGACATATTCCTCCTGCAGACGTGCAATGAGGGCGGCATCCTCAATGCTCGACTGACAGACAAAACTCCGCTGTCTGTGGTTAATGTAAAGCCGCTCCCTCCCTTGCTCAGTGAGCCCATACAAGATGTATGAAAATATCTTAAAATTAAAGTCATTGGGCCCCCCAATACCAGTCACGAACAGATGATTGCATTCCAAGCAAACGCACTGCAACTCCTCCGCTGCCTCTTCCTTAACGCACACATGTGCCTGCAGGTAGCACATATGCCGCCGCCCCACGGTAGACGTGAAGGCGGAAATCACGCGTACGCCAGCCGCAACCATACTTCGCTGCAATGGCGTCGCTTCAAAGAGCGTACAGCAAGTGTCCAGCAAGGCCCCAGAAAGGCTCGGCAGCGCATGGCCGGAGGAGACCACAACCTGGCGTTTGTGTGAAACTTTCCACGCGAGGGCCGCCTTCAGGGCGATCTCGCAGTCCGACGTTCCACCGCCAGTGAAGCCGCCCTCGCCCAATAGAAGGGAAAAGTTATCGCCAATGTCTGTTAAGAACTCGTCATTAGCGGCGCGGTAGCGAAGCAAATCCACGACGGGGGGCAAGCCAACAAGTGGCGTGGGTGACATGAGTGCCGCATTCCTCTTCTGTAAGAAGATTGAGGGATGGTCTGGCATGTGAAGCAACAGCTGCGCGTCGCCCTCTGCCTCGGACAACTGTGGGACGTAAATGTCCGACGCGGAGACCGTCTCCTCCACCGGCCCGTCGCGGACAAGCACGTGCAGGCCGTCCAGCGACGCCGCAACGCCAACACGCCACCCAGCGCTCACGCTCCGGTAGAATACAAAAGGCATCAAGCGGCAACTCCCGTACTTTGCAGATTTCCCCCCTATTCCTCTCCTTCAGTGGGTTTCTCTCACTGTGCGTGTGTGTGTGTCCCCAGTCACTTATTTCCCGTGGGAATAAAAAGACCCACGCGAAGCAACTAACAAGAAAATAAAATAATAATAAATAAAGTAATTCAATATCGGCGCCAACAACAAGTCCAAGATGGGGCTTGCACACTCGCAGAAGCTGCAGTCTGCCAGGAAGAACTTCCTAAACGTTACCCCGGTCACCAATAAAGTTGTTCCAATCCATCTGCTGACAAGTCGATTTCGCCACTCTATTACGTGAGAATCCTCACGGACGCGGTCACAGAAGGAAAGGAGTACCAACGAGTTAAATACAACAGGGGGAAAAAAAAACTGCATATAAACCTCTAAGTGAGAAACAAACCAGCAACAACACCGCAGACAAATGCGATTTTGCGGTGAACAGAACCGGCAATCACAGAAATTGCCGCGCAGAAGGGACCACCCTCTGGCCTGTATTCGCAGGCACCCCACAAATCCTTCATTAGGCGCTTCCACTGAACTTCCGCGTAACCCAGCGAGGAAAGCAGCTGCGTCAGAAACAGGCCGCTCACGAGAGCGCGAAGGATGGAGCTAATGCCTCGTCTCACAAACCCCGCAAGAATCGCGCCGCCTAGCGCACTCACAGCAACCATGCAGTACTGCCTCATAATACGTCGGCGCGAGGGCGACAACGCCGGCCGCAGTTCCGCATCCAAAACTTCAATCTCGGAGTCGGAGACACTTGGAACAGCACTGTTATTGTTATTTTTAATACTACCGTCAGCCTCATTCTCACCATCCGCACCGGCGTCTGAGGGGCTGCAGCTTTTTTGTGACGACCTCCCCACGCTCGGGCTTGGCGAGGCCACAACATCCGGCGAGCGAGAGCCGTTACTCTCCACTGAATCCATGAGGTCTCTGAAGAAGGCACGTTTGAGGTGGCTAAACCCCATTGAGCCGCGCGGCGCCCGGAAGGGGAGGTCAATTTCGGTCTCCACCTCCCAGTCGACGACATGGGACGACGGGGGGTCCATGGTGCCTTCTCAATGGGGAAAAAACAAAAAAAGGGCTAACACTTGGCGTGGATGCAAGGGCAAGACACAAGAGAGTGAGAAAATACAAAAAAAAAAAGCTGCTGCGGCAGCCAAAAACTCTCCAGAGAAGGAGAGGCGCCAACGGATGGTCTTTCCAACACATAACTGCACATGGACACACACACACACACATACATACTAGGGAAGGAAAGAAAAGGGACGCAAACCCTCTCCCTGTAAGGAAATACCGTCTTTTAGTTCTCATTGTGGCGTTAGGAAGCAAGAGAGAGAGGGGCGAATTTCGCCCGTCAAAGAGTCTTGAACATGCAATTCAAACTCGCAACGTTCCGCATTGTAACAAACGCCGTAAACGGCGCAACCATCCTCCACGCGCTGCCCCACCTTTACGCCAAAAAGACCCTCATTAAGCCACGCGGTAACGTCGTACTTGCCGTCGACTGTGGGGTTTAGATACCGTGCAGGATCCTCCGGCGTAAGAAGAACGGAGTGCGTGGAGGGCCCATTATAGTCCAATTTCACGCTCCCAACAGGAATTGCATGGCATCCGTGAAACATAGGGGCCAGACATGCAGCTGGTTCACCCAACGGATTCCAAAACGGAACAGGACACCCAAGAGCTTCATCGGGCGCGATACCCACCATCACTGCGACACCGTAGCGACAAAGCATCTTCGCCCCATGTCTGTTCTGCTGACCAAAAAGTGTACAGGCCTCGTGTGTAATGTCGAAGTATTGCTTTAAGGCATGTGTGCTTCCACAATGATATGGAAAAGAGAGTTGTAGGGCCTTCTCGTTAATGCGACTACCAAGCTTGAGCAACACTTCAGCGCCGCGAAGCGATGCCAAACGCCGTTGCGAGACTGAGCGTAAGTGATCCAGCACAGCCAACCCGCGGATCCCACTCTCCACTGCCTCTGTTGCGCAAAGAAGAGCCAACTGCTCCGCTTCATCCGCAGCTGACGACGTTCCCTCTGGTCTGGGGCTGAACAAGTGCCTGTGACGAGCCAACTCCTCCATGGAGAGAGGAAATGCACCAGGAAGGCCTGCAACATGAACCAACACCACCTGATCGCCATGCTCCTTGCAGGAGCCAAGAAATGTCATGGGTATAGTGAGGCCTTCGCCCGCGTGGTAGAGACATTGAAATTCCGCCGTGCCAGAAGCGCGACGCCGCGGCGGCGGCGGCGCAGACGGGGAAGAACCAAAAATGGCCTGACGGGCCGCCTCAGCGGCAGCCACCCGCACTTCGGTAAGGCGTGCCGGCTTTCCCAGGGCGCGAAGAAGCGGAAACAGCGCACCCATCAAGAAGAGAGCCGCCACAACAGAAAAACGCGTCTAACTGCAAAAAAAAAACGAAATAAAAAAGAGAAAACAAATAATGTTACAAATTCCTTTCCGTTCTTCACTCCACCTTCATATCCGACTGCAGGCGGTATTGATCTCGCGGAGAGAGAAGAATCAAAGCAAGCGCAACCAACCAAGGCAAAAAAAAAAGAGCATATATATGAGTTGAGTTTCAGAAGGCACCACAACCAAACTTTAAGCATAACAAGAAGAAAACAACCCTGGTGAGTTGAGAGAGCGAGAGCGAAAGAAAGGGGTCGTCCATGCCAGCTGCATGGGAGGCTCACGAACTAGGGGAAGGCGGCACCGCGTGGGCGAGGACAGCTTACACAGACATCCTGTAAGCGCATACATACTTCACTTTTCCCCTAGTGTTGCACGCCATCGAATGACCACCCAACTGCCTCATACTTTTTGTAAGCTTCACGTGTTTGTGTTTGTGTTTTTTTTTTGCGTGGGAAACAGGCGGAGTCAAGAGGGATACCCGCAAAAATAACATAACCCAGTGGCAGGAGCAAATGAATGCTTCAGGAGAAGAAGGACAAAAAAACAACAACAAAAAAACAGAATCCTTTTGGAGGAGCGATGCCCACTACGTCTCAGTTTCGTCATTCTCCCAGGGAAGCATGGCTTCAAACACGGTGGCAGTTTCATTGTCTCCACCACTTTTGTCGGCTTTTACTGGCACTTCTTCATGCTCCCCAGTGGACACGGTTTCCCAGCAGTCGGAAGGGTTTTTGCTCGACAAGGAGGCGTACGCCCCAAGTTTCGCGCGTAGCTGATCGTTGATTTTTACAAGCTGCTGGAAGAGGGAGCCGTGATCGGGGCAGATGACGCTGTTCACCAGCTTTTCCTGCTGCGACTTTAATTCACCCATGAGTCGGCCAAGTTTAGTCTTGTGGTACTTGCAGCTCTCCGAGACGGAGTCCCCGAGTTCCGTGGTTTCCCGCTTGCTGACTACGTTGGTGAGCAGCTGAAGGCTACTTGACGCCAACTCCAGCTCTTGCTGCACCGTTGATATCTGTTCCTCCACCCACGCCGTCATCTCCCGTCTGCGATTCAGCGTCTCGCGCAATTGCTGCCAGTGTCTCGCGGCATTTGGCACTCCAATACCCTTCTTACGCAGCGCACCCGTCGTATCAAGTGGGTTTGGCTCTGTTGACGCAACTTCCATTACATCTAACATCTGGCTTGCGCTGCGACAGACGCGGAAGAGGCCAAAGCGCCAGCAAATGTTCACCCAGTACTGCCCATCCGAGACGTGGCGAGGCACCACGGCGGAGCGAAACCCAAGCTTCTCTGGCGAAGCCATCAACCACGCTACCACCTCCTGCGACGGTTCACACTCACTGGCCACGGGTGGTTCTGGCAGATTTGCGATGGACTCGAGATTCAACAAACCGCACAACTTTGACGCAAGTGACGCGTCGCCCAAGATTGTTTTGGGCGGGATGATGCAGCTGTTCTCTTCCGTGAACGCTGCCTCCGCCAGTAGCATCCATTCTTCCGCGGGTGATTCCCACTGCGGCGGTGGCAGAATGAGCAGCTCTTTTGTCACACGAGTCACCACAGAGGGCTGACTCTCGGTGTCCCCCGCAGTTGCCGCCGCCGCCGCCGCCGCAGAAGCGGTGCCACCTTTTATTTCACTAATTCTACCACTCGCGCCGTGGTCGTCTCCCTCCACGTCGAGTATGCCGATCTGCTTCGCCAGCTCATAGCCCTCATCTGTGAGGATCTTCGCCCTCGCCGACGCGGTCTCCACCAGGGCGCTCAGTGCGCCAAACATGAACTCCGAGAAACACACACGCAAGTCCTTGGCTGTAGTACGGCCCCTGCGGCCAAGGGAAGAGAATGCCCCAGTACCTCACAGAGTCAAAGTAAGGGAGAGAAAAAAAGGCATCCCACGCACACGGAAGCAAAGAAAAAAAAGAGCAAAGACGATGGAACCGAAGGCGTTTCGCCACTGTTGAATTTCTGGCGTTTAATTTCCGCTGCCATCACTCCATCCTTCCCTCCTCTCGTTGACGCATCGAAGGCCAAAAACGGCAAACAACCCGACTTCCGTTAATCTTTACTTTCCTTACTCTGTTTCTGCTTCTGTTTTTTTTTCTACAACAAGTTATATTTGGGATACATGGGCTGCTTCTCGCCCTGCCGCGTGTCACGCACCGACACACAGTTCCCTGGCCACCGGAGCGCGGCAAGACCAGCACCTACTCAACGAAAATAAGGTCGATGACACGCAGTGAAACTGCCTCTCCCCCGCAGTGCCGCCCCCAGCAGAGAACCGAGAAACAGGGAAGACACGCACAAAAGCACACCGCCCGTCGCCAAGCAGAATAACCGCCCGGATGAAACCATTTCCTTCATTTCTCCCCCAGCCCCACCCTACGAAGCACAGACACTGTGCGAAGGTAAACAGAGTTTGGCCCTTTCCACCCACCATTTCAGTTCGGATGCAAGTTATTCCCTACTTCATATACACCCGCACAGAAATTCCCCAAGGCGTTACATAGTAACCGGACTCTCGCTGGCAGACCACGAAGCAGCAGTCTTTGAGGCCCCCCGAAGCCCGCCAGCTTCCCCTCCGGGTGGAGGGCAGCAATGGGCGCAGCCCTAGTGGGAGTTGGGGCAGGAGGAGAAGAGCCAAAGAACCGCACCCGCGCATCTCTCCAACGCCGCTTCGTTTGGAGCAGAAAAGCGAAGCTGTACTTAGACAAAAGGAGAGCTAAAGAGGACGCGCCAGCTTCTCCTTGAACTAATCTCGTCGAACATTCGTTTCACAATTTTCCTACAGAAGCACGAAAAAAAAACACCCATGTTTTTATTGTTCTTTTATTTTTGCTCTTGCGTTATGTTTCCAGCCCCTCGAAGTTTTTTATGGGCTTTGGTGCCCGTGCGCCGCTCATCATCAAGTACGAAAGCAAAAGCAACACATCTTAGGCCAGGTACCTGGCCCCTGCAAAAAAACCTGCAGCAAATGCACCCAAGTCACCAAGTCCTTTGCTGGCAAAATTGATGAAGCGATTTAAGTAGAGCTTGAAATCCTTTTCATCCACTTTCCCGTCGGCGTTCACGTCCAGCACCTGGTTGAGGTCGCCCTCCACTTTTCTCCAGTTGATATGGATGTAACCCAAGTAGCTGAGGCCCTGGAGTGCAACGATGGCAAGCCCAGCGCCGTACAACGCGTCTTTCGTGAGGCGCTTGGCGGCCACCCCGACTGCCGCGCCAAACATTCCGCTCACGCTCATCCCCTTTGACATTTTCCGAAGCGCAGGCATCGTTGTGGAGACGGTTTCCTTGACGGTTGCTTCAGCCGGCTTCGCCGCCTGGGTTTTCGCCGAAGTCTTGGCAGGCATGGCTCAATGTGAGGGGCTCTCTTCGCAGATAATTGAGGCAAACTTCCCGTTTTCATTTTTGGTTGCAGCCAAAAGAATCCAAAAAGAAAAGGAGTAGGAACAAAGTGTAGAGACCCCCCCCCAAAAAAAAAGACAAACAACTCAACAAACGCTCACCCGCCACCAGCACCCAACAACGCCACTCACAAAACAGGGTGGCGGAACCTCAAACAGGGCATCCATGACGGGGTGCGGAGAAAACGGATTGCACAAACGAGTGCGGGAGACACGACAATTCCAAAGGAACGCCAAAAAACAAAAACAACAAAAAAGGCTGAGAATAAAACGAAGCAACACCTGGGGTTCGCACAGCAAGGGACGTAGAGCAAAAAAAAAAAAAACTCTCTCGTCAGACGCTTATTTCACCCCTTCCAGTGATGGTCATCCGCATTATTTATGCGCTGCCGCAAATTTACGCTAAGTTATCTGCTGCTGGAGGTACCTGAGTACGGTGGCCTTCGCCGCTGCACTGGCATCCCGGGTTGCACTGCGAACAACAAGCCGATCTTGCGGTGTGCGGCGAATCAGTGGGATGTGTCGCAAGTGCTTTAGAGAGAGTTTCCAATTCCCGGAAAGTGCCGCAGCCCACACCCCTAGGCGTTGGCTGTGGTTGTCCCTCGACAGGCCAGATGCATACATGTCTGCCAGGAGCGCCATGGCCTCAGACCACCGCCCCGAGCCCACGCAAACTTTTATTGTTAGCCGATGTGCCAGTGGGGGTAGCACGACTCGCGGCTCCTCTTCGCGCACTCGCCCCAGAAGCATCGTCGCCTCCTGCCAGCGGTTGGAGGCGACGCAAGCCTGTAAAACAGCACAGATGGAGAGTGGATGTGGGGATTGCTTTGCATCAGCGAGGGAATCCTGCAGTATTCGCACCGCGACGTCCCACATCGCTCCTTTAGCCGAGGCAAGCAAGAGAGAAAGACGCGTGCGAACGGGCAGATATGAATGTGTCTCGAGAAGCATCCCTCCAATACGTATAGCCGCTTCCCACTGACCTGACTGCTCACACAATTCCAGCAGCTCCCCTCTTCCTGTTGCCGCGGACGCCTCATCGGCTTTGGCCATCCACGACAGCGCCGCCAACGCCTTTTCCCACTGCTTAACTGCGTGGAAGGAACGAACAAGCGCATGGTACGAGTCTTCACCAATGCTGGAGACAAATCCCTCCGTCTGGGCAATGTCAAACACCTGCGTTGCCACAGCCCACGCAGTTGCCTGCTCACATTGTGCCAACAAAATCCCAACCATCGACTTGTCCGGTTTCACACCTGCTGCAACAGCCGCATTAAAAACTGAAAGCGACGACACCCAGTCCGGTGAAATGGACATGACATCTTTAAAAATTTTACGTCAGATGGAAAAATTTGTGCTGCTTCTTTTGTTTTTCAATCACTGAGAGCATGAAGAGGCACATCCGCCACTGCTTCCGCTGCGCTGTTCGAGACACAAGACTCTCCACAAACGCCGGGTGCACCAAGGAGCCCTGTGCTATTCCAGCAACAACAACTCCACGGCCTTTTCCCACGCCCCACTTTCAGCAAGTGGGGGATCAAAACGCCCAACGAATACCACTCCCCCATGTGAAATTGCCGCTCCATCGCCTCTGCCACCCTGAGGGCAGAGATCCAGCTTCCATGCTTCTCAGCAAGTATCTGCGTGGCATGTGACACATCCAACGACCAGCCCTTTTCTTCGCAACAACGGAGAATCGCGGCACAGTTCCCCGGGGACAAGAGGGATGAAAGGAACGATGACGATGGTGGGCTCGGCAGCGATTCGGAAAATTGCAGAGCGCTCTGCCAGTCACCTAGACGCTGCGAAGCGTGGCAAAGCACCGCCACAGATCCTGGACGCACGAGAGACGCGTTATCAACTAAACTGAGTTTCCCCAAGGTCAGAACATCGCTAACAAGGCCCTGCCCACTACGCTCTAGTTCATGGACGACATCCTCCTCCACGGTCTCGCTGAATATTCGACGCAGCAAGCCACAGCAGGCATTTACGTCTCCGCCGAGCACCTCCGTGGCTAACAGTCTCGCAAGACCCCCTCTTCCCATGCGAACTCTCGCACATGCGTCGCCGGAACAATGAAGGAGAGAAAGAGAGAAAAAAAAAGAGGAATAATGAAGAAGCAT